GGGTTTTAGGTTTAGGGTTTTTAGGGTTTGCGGGCTTTAGGGCTTAAGGCTTTAGGGTTCAGCCAAACCCCTTTGACCCCAAAGCCCTGCCACCTGAAAACCTTCCCTCCCTTAAAGTTCGGGGAACCTAACTCGAATACGTCCAAGAACCCCTAAACCCTAAACCCTAAAACCCTAAACTCTAAAACCCTAAAGCTCTAAAACCCTAAACCCTAAAAACCTAAAACCCTAATTCCTAAAACCCAAAAAACCTAAAACCCTAAAACCCCTAAAACCCTCTGATGCCAGTTCATCTTGGCTCTGCTTTTTTACATGAGCCAAAATTCCAATTGACTCCTTAAAAGGGGTTGTATAGGGGGTTTAGGGTTTAGGGTTTAAGGTTTAGGGTGATATAGGGGGTTGGGCATATTAATCTAAACTCCTTAGGGGGTCATATAGGGGTTTACGTAGGGGATTAGTATAGGGCATATTGAGGGGGATACTGGGAGTTTAGGCTACAGCTGACTTGGGGTCAGCTGCAACAAGTTGAGACAGCTGGCCAGCAAGATCCCCTAGAACGACTATATAGGGGATATTAATGGGTTCATAATTATATGGGTATCTAATTTTTGAGGACTCTGGCTCGAATAAGGGTTTAGGGTTTATAAGGCTTATGCACTCAAACTGCTGGAAGGCTCAGCTTGCCCAGCGGGGTCTGGGCTCAAGTGCGCGGGCGCAACATCATGAGCATCTGGCGCGGTGACATCGCCAGCATCATTGTCAAGTTCACTTGCTGCCTCATACATGCTCTCACGCCCATTGATTTCATTAGCACTGGCAATGTCCTCAAGGCTTGGCAAGGACGATGCATTGCTCGGGCTGTGCGATTCTGCTTCCGCCTGATTTTCATAAGATTGGGCTGCGCTAGCTTGGGAGAAACTTCTGAACCCCAAACCCCTACACCCCAAACCCTAAACTGTACGGCCTAAACGCCCCGAACGCCTAAAGCCCTAAACCCATAGTTTAGCCCTCAACTAAAGCCCCGAAATAGTGTACTCAAAGGGTCCCTTAAATGGTACTAGGAGGCCGAGTAAGACTTAGGGTGGTATTTGGGCTCCCCGTCAAACCCTTCAAAGTATGACAGAAACCCTGAACTCTAAACCCCCAATCCGAAGCCCTAAACCCAACAACCCCAGGGGCCAAGATTTACATAGCCTAAACTTGGGTCAATCCCCCACCCAGTAATCGGTACCACAAGGNNTATATTAAGGCCCTAATAACTCCATATTAAGGAGCCATTACTATAGGAGGGATTGACCTAAGCCTAAACCCCTAAACCCTAAAGCCTAAACCCATTACGTACCGATCATATTAAACTAGCAAGCTCTCAGCTCCTGGCGCAACGGGTAAGGCTAGCCACAGCATGGCAGAAGCAGGTGCCTAGCAGCTTCGAATTTTGGGGTTCCCCACAGGGGTTCTGTAGGGGTTATAGGGGTTATGTAGGGGTTCTGTAGAGGTGTTATACGAGCTTTATTGGGTACATTGAGTTGAGGTTCTCCAGAAGTTCGGGGTCTTTTCGGGGTGTCCCCATAGGAATGATTTGCAGTCCCCATGTTTATGGAAACTACCATTTATAAGTGAGGGTAGTTCTTGATTTTTAGGGGGCCGGGGTGGTGTTCAAGGTTTAGGGCGCTGGCTGATATTTGGCAGTTCCGGGATTCAAACAGCGTGGGGTCAGGCTTTAGTGTCTTATTCTAGTGGTGCCGTCGTGTTCGCGTGTGTTTGGCTAAGGACAAGTCGTTCATCTTTCCTTCAACCCTCAGCCCTAAACCTTTCCCGATGGCTCGTCAAGCTGCTCCATCCATTGCTGCGCATATTCCTAGCTGGTGGTTGATAGGCACGCGGTTTGGGGTTTAAGGTTCCCAGCTGGTTATTCAATCGGGAACAAAGGAATGGGAAGAACAAGGAAACAACTATACTAACTGAGTGAAAAAATATCCACAAATCCAGAAAGCGATCTGTTCCCTAAACCCTCAACTCCAAACAACCAGCAAGCTCCGAGACTTGCGGGCTTTCGATTTCCAACTCAAACTCTTGTTGGGTATCGCGTTTTTTGTTGTATGCTCTAGCCTTAGACGGCTCAGGAGCCTACACCCCAGGGACGTTCAGGCTTCAAGCCGTGAACTTACTGGTTCTTAGTAGGGGATCAGGGAATATAATCCCTATTTAACCCTAATATAACATATTCCCTTATTCCCGACGAATGAGACGACTAAGAACCAGTAAATGAAACTAAACTGCCGGCGCTAAAATGACAACTGTCGGAAGTGACATGCGAAAGGCGCGATTGGAGGGTAGAATTGTCATGCCGGAAATGTGCAAGCAATGTCCTGCACTACTACAAGGATTTACTTGCCCCAACCCGTATAATACCGACTCTTATACTATAATATGACAATTGTAGGGTCCTAAGTTAAGGGTTGGAGTAACTAAAAACACCTTGCTACACACCTTGTAGGCAGCAGCAGCAGCAGCAGCCTCTGCTTTGAGACGGCGAAGCCGTTGCACCAGCTTGGCTCGCACCGCCATCAGGTCCTCCAAGGTGATGATGGTGTCTTGCCTTGTGACCGCATTGTAGTCCCCAGGCCGCCACATGCTGGAACACATCGCGAGCATCTCAATGACGCTGTCGCGGAAGCATAAGCATGGCTCCAGCCTAAACCCCAGGCCTTAAATCCCCCTTAAGTAGATAGAATATAGCTTTGGGTATTTTATAATAAGATCCCCATATATTCCATATTCCATCTACTTACGGGGGACTATAAATCCTAGACCCTAGATCTTACAACAGTTCAACCCATAGCCGTGTCTGCAAAGCCTTTCAAACAATTGCAGACAGCTTCTAACAATGGGATTCTCTGGTAACCCTACATCCCCAACCCTGAACCAAAGCCTAAAACCCCAAACCCTGAATCCCAAACCCTACAACCTAAGCCTGAAAAGCAAGGATCTTGCGACTGTCATTTGACTTTTCTACGGTCCTGATTCTGATAGTTTGGATTACAAAGGTCCCCCTACATATATAGACCATGTTAAACGCCTATGTAATCCCACATCCCCTTTCATTAATTTCCCTTTGAATTTGGGGGTCTGGGTTTGCACCCGCACCTAAGCCTCAAACCGCAGCTATGCCATGCAGCCCAGAAACGCTAAAGGCCTGCCAAAGATGAAATACTAACTAGCAATGATCATAAAAGTTAGTGCAGCAAACATGATGGCAATAGTATAATAACAGTCGAAATCGTCGTCGTACTGGACATGCGAATAAGCAGAATCATCATACTCTAGATCTTCCCCTCCTAACTCTCACAATTACCACATGAAGTAGGAGGAGTTGCAATGAGACTGAGACCCCTGTAAAGAGAGCTACCGCTCTGGGGCATGACGCAATGCATAACCCCAGGGCCTTGATAAAGCCCGCTTAAGGACGGATAGTGTAATGTAGACCCATGATTAATAAAGCCCGTCCTTTTTAGGGCCTAAATATTCGGATCCCTATTATAGTCCCTATTAAGGGGAGGTGGTTTATTAATCAGGGGTCTACATTAAGGGAAATTGACCCCTGAAATTGCCAATGGTAATCGTAACGCTTGGAGAGCCAGGGGACTTCGAAACTACACGTAACTGGGGTTGTAACCCTACATATCACTGGGGTAGCCTGTACAAGGCTTGTTAAAGGGATGATAGGTAAGGTTGTAAGCCTAAACTCAATACCCTTGACCCCAGGTACAAGTAGTTAAAATCCTGCCAGCCAGCCCCAGGGTGCAGGAATTTGCGGTCAAGGGTTTGAGGTTCAGGGTCTAGGAAAGTGGGGGGTTAAGGGTTTAGGAATTTTGTTTTTTTACTTGGTACACTTCTCGATTTG